ACACATAATAAATAGATAAATGGCTAGGGATATAGATAGTGAGGGAGTGTTTGCCTGGCATGTCCAGTGCCTCAGCTGATCTCTTTGATGTGCTAAAAATTTTCAAAATTTCTCAGCACTTGGGAGGCAAAAGCAGAAAAAATAGGAGTTCAAGGTCATCCTCAGCTACATAGTGAACTTGAAGCCAGCCTGGACTCAAAACGTCAAATAAAATTAAAATTTAAACTAAAGCTGGGTGGTGGTGGCACATGCTGGACACAGAGGCAGATGCATCTCTGAGTTCGAGGCCAGCCTGGTCTACAGAGTGAGTTCCAGGACAGCTGGGACTACACAGAGAAACCCTGTCTTGAAACAAACAAAACAAAAAAAATTAAAAAAAAAAAAACAAAAAAACAAAAAAAACTGGTTTGAGAGATGGCTCAAGTGCCTTCCAAAGGACCTAAGCTCAATTCCAGTACCCAGGTCAGGTCAGGTGACTCACAACTCCCTATAACCCAATGCCCTCTGTCCTGAGGGCACTGCACTCACACGGTAACACCATCTCACACACAAATCTTTTAAAAATTTATAAAAAGCAAAACCCTAGGCCTGCAAATTCAGAATTCCTAAACACTGGACAGCCAAATTTCAAAAGCATTTTTTTTTTTTTTTTTGAGACAGGATTTCTCTGTGTAGCCCTTGGCTGTCCTAGAATGCACTCTGTAAACCAGGTTGGCCTTGAACTCATAGAGATTCACCTGCCACTGCCTCCCAAGTGCTGGGATTAAAGGTGTGCACCGCCACCGCCTGGCTACATATTATTATTTTGTGGTGTTAAAGATAACACTCAGGTCTGTGCACAATGAGAAAATGCTCCAATACTAAGCTACATCCTCAGCCCCTCCCCCATTTGGGCATTTGAAAGAGTCTTACTTTCTATCCCTGGATAGCCTGGAACTAATCAGACCAGGCTGGCTGTGACTGCCTGCCCCTACCTCCTGAATGCTGAGTTTAAAGGCCTGTGCCACCACACCTGGCCAAAGGCAGGTACAATTTCTGAGAAACATAATGGAGGTGTGTGGCTAAGATATTAGACCTAAGGTTTCAGAGAGTTCTGGATTCAAATTCTATTTCCTCCCTAAAAAGTATGTTGGTGCATACCCACAATTCTAGCATTTTAGAGGCAGAGGCAGTGAGATGAGTTCCAGGCCAGCCTGGGCTACCTAAGAACCTCAAAAGATACGTCCCCTGACACATTTCCCTATATAGCCAAGGCTGGACCTAAATTTAGCAATCCATCAGCCTTAGGCTTTCCTGGGTGTTGGGATTGCAGGTGTGAGCCATTACTTCTTCAAGAGAAGCCGGTCTGCCCTTGGGAGTCAGTACTCATGGGGACTTAGCCAGCTCTGGAGTCGGACAGACTTGTTACATCTTGTGCCTCATCTGGCTCAGTTTGGGAATGGGGCATTCCACTGAACCTTACTCCATTGTCAGGGACAGCAAAATGCTGCAAATGAGGTGCACAGAGTTGTGAGCCAGAGTTGTGCAAATGGCTGGACTGCAGCTGCCAGCCCTTGTCTGTTGAAAGCTTTGGCTTATAACTAATGAGGATGTGTGATTATCTCCTTTCACCTCCTCCTCTGTCCGTCCACATGCTGCCCAGCAAGCTATTAAGCACATCTCTGAATGGACACTGCCCCCAAGAGCCTGGTGCCTGCTAATAGCACGTGGCAGAGACATTTTCACACTGTACTGGATGTGGAGATAATTTCTTTCCCAGTGACCTTCTTGGGCGCTTATGATTGATGCAAATGCAGAGCTGGTTAGGATGGACTTAGGAGAGACGCCAAGAAGACCAGACTACCCATCACAATCCCTAGTCACCTCTCCTTCACACTGAATCCGAGTCCTGGGGACACTGACTCTGAGCTTCTGTACAGGCTGTTTACAGACCTGGGACCCTCCCACATTCTTGTCTGCCTGGCCCGGGATGATGTGTGGTGAAAGAATGGCTAGGAAAGGCCAGAAATGAGAATGGCTGCTGCCTGGGACAAGTGACATGGGGTCTTATGGCGAACCTGGAAAGAGAGAGAAATGCAGATGTCAGGAATGGGACCAGAGCTGGGTCATGAGCAGTGTGGCTGCCCACCAAGTCCTCCACGTACCCTTCAGAAGTTAGGTTTCCAGGGCTCAGGCAGCTGCTCATGCCTATCAAACACCATGTGCTCATCTTCACCCCCAACCTCCCTCAGTTTGGGCTGTGTATTTTGTATCTTGTGCATCTCTTTTCTCTCACATGTCCAGGTGAGAACTTTCAGACACAGAGTTGCCATGGTGGTAACAGGTTTTGAGACTGGGTCTCACTATGTAGCTCTGGTAGGCCTGGATGCAGAGATCCCCCTGCCTTTGCCTCCCAGTGCTGATTAAAGCTGTGTACCACCACACTCGGCATTAAGATTTTGTATGTCTGAGTGCATGCCTGTCTGTACAGAGGCCAGCAGAGGGGGTTGAGTCCGCCTCTCACAGCCTATTCCTTTGAGGCAGGTCTCTCTCTCTGAAAGTGGACTTTTAAGTTTTCTTAGCTGGGCTGGAAGCCAGCAAGCCCCAGTCACTCTCCTGTCTCCACCCACCTTCAGAGCTGGCCTTAGATGCCTGTGGGACAATGCGATCCATGTGATTGTAAAGCAAGTAATTCTGGTCATCATGATTGCACAACAAGCAATCTTATGCACTAAACCAACTCTTCACTCACCCCAATGACATTTTTTTTAAGGCAGGATATGGTGGTTTGAATAAAAATGGCCCCCATAGGCTCATATATTTGAATATTTAGTCCCCAGGGAGTGGAACTGTTTGATAGGATTAGAAGAATTAGGAGGTGTGGCCTAGTCGTGCTCTGCCAGTGGATCAGGATGGAGCTCTCAACTACATCTGCAGCATTATGGCTGCCATGCCTCCCCGTCTCCCCCATGCCATGATAATAAACTAAGCTTTTGAAACTGTATGCAAGCAAGCGCACAATCAAATGCTTTCTCAGAGTGTGTCTTCACAGCAGAATAGTGACTTAAGACAATAGGGTTTCACTATATATAGCCGTATAGCCTGAAACTCACTATATGGATGAGTCAGGCCTTGAACTCAGAGATCTGCCAGCCCCCGACTTCTAAGAGCTGATATTAAGGATATGCCACCACCATGTCCAGCAACAGACATTTTAAAAAAAAATTTGGTGCTGGAGAGATGGTTTAGGGTTAGTGATCAGCTCCTTGCACCTATGTCAGAGACTCGAGGCTGCCTGTAAGTCCAGCCCCAAGGGAACCCCAAGCCTCTGAGCCCTAGTGCACACACATATACTACACACGACATACACATAATTTAAAAAAAATTTAGGAGAGCGGTGGTGGCGCACGCCTTTAATCCCAGCACTCAGGAGGCAGAGGCAGGCCGATCTCTGTGAGTTTGAGGCCAGCCTGGTCTACAGAGTGAGGTCCAGGACAGGCACCAAAGCTACACAGAGAAACCCTGTCTCAAAAAACAAAACAAACAAAACAAAACAAAACAAACAAAAAAAAAACTTTAAAAAAGATTTGTGTGTCTGTGTTGTCTGTGTGGGAGGGGGTGACTGCAGAGGCCAGAAGAGGGTACTGGAGCAAGTGGTTGTGAGCTGCCAGATGTGTTGGGAACTAATCTGAGACAGGGTTTTCACTATGTAGCCCTGGCTGTCCTGGAACTCACAATGTAGACCAGGCTGGTCGTAAATTAACCGAGATCCTCCTGCCTCCGCCTCCTGAGTGCTGGGATTAAAGCTGAATGCTACTACTCACAACTCAGGTATTAACAGCTGAGCCAGCTTTCCAGACATGTGTCTTTTTGAGACAGGGTCTTATATATCCTATGTAGCCCAGGCTGGCTTGGAATTTATAGTACTATCCTGCCACAACTGCCAAGTGCTGAGATTACAGGCATGAACAGCTGGCTCTATAATCACACTTTTTTTTTTCCAGAATTTTTTTTTTAAAGATAGAAGTCAAGGCAGTTGCCCATGGCCACACAGCTTCTGAAAGCCTCCTCCCCTACCCCACTGTGCTGGTTTAAATGTAACTGGCCCTCATAAGCTTACAGGGAGTGGCACTATTAGGTGTGGCTTTGTTGGAGTAGGTATGGCCTTATAGGAGGAAGTGTGTCACTGTGGGGGTGGGCTCTGAGGTCTCCTATGTTCAAGCTACACCCAGTGAGTCAGACCACTTCCGCTGCCTTCAGGTCAGCTCTCTCTCCAGTACTATGTCTGCCTGCACACCACCGTGTCCCAGCATGGTGGTAATTAAACCTCTAAAACTAAGCCACCCATTCAATGATTTCCTTTACAAGAGTTGCTGTGGTCACAGTGTCTCTTCACAGCAACAGAAACCCTAAGACACCCACCTCTAGGGTTTCTATGTAGCCCTGGGATCCATCTGCCTGCCTTTGCCTCTGCCTCCAGAGTGCTGGGATTAAAGGGGTACAGTTAAGGCTGGGAGGGACTCAGAGGCATTCAGTCTGAGGATTCGTGGAGACAGGACCTTCCCCTTTCGGCTGAGGGACTCAGAGGCGTTCAGTCTGAGGATTTGTGGGGACAGGACCTTCCCCTTTCGGCTGAGGAGCTGGAGAGGTGAGCAGTGGCTGTGGCTTGTCTCCTCTGATCTTTCAGCATTCACCCCGATGATTATCTGGCTCTGTGTTTTTATTATAAGACCAATTAGGATTTGTGCAACACTACTACACCTGAATAAATAAATTTCTCACTTCTACCTCTAACCTGTCCCTTCTCAACCCAGAAAAGTAGCATCGCAAAGCACAATCTTGGGCTCAATCCCTGCCACACTTGCTATTGTGTGACTCTGGGCAAGTCACCTGCCTCTCTGAGGTCAATGGGACAGCAATGAAAATTCTCCTGGATGAGGTAACAGCTATGAGACTCAGCAGGAGTGAGCTGCTGTGATCCATGGCAGACTGGGACTGGTAGAGGAAAGGACAGAACCATATAGAGACTGCTCATGTTTATTAACAAAAGGGACAACCACACACACACATCCATGCACAAGTACATTCAGGAACCTCAGAACTGATAATACCCACCCCTATCACCACCCCCCTTCTCTAGGACCCACCCTAAACTTAGTTTGGACTCTTTAGGAAATTTTGGGCTTCTAGCATTTTTTATCTGGAAACCACATGAAATGTACTGTCTGGGCTCTCTGCTTTTCATGTCCCCATCCACCTGTCCCCATGGGCTGTAGACAAAAATCTGCAAGACTCTGCTCAGTCACTCAGGTCTAGACCAAAATCTGGATATAACTCCTTGGTGGTGACACCTCGGGTCAGAGCTGAAAGAAAGGACAGAAGAATTACTATCCAGTGGGAAAGGTCAAAATCCAAGTCAAGGCCACTGTCTTAACCACCCAGACCACCACCCCTGGGGCCCAGATTCACACCTCACCCAAATGGCAAAGGAAATCTCCCTACTACTTCTTCCAAGCTCTGCCCCTTAGGGGCTTGGCCTGGCCAGCCCACAAGACCAAGCTTTATAGCATGGCCTGCAGACAGCCTTCAAGCAGCAGCCTGTGTGACCCTGCTCCTCTCGCCGCTCTGCCTAGGACTCACCCTTTTCTCCACAGGGAAGGCTCTTTCCCCAGAGGCCTCCTCCTAGCACCTGGTCTTGCTCTCTCCTGCCTCCTCCTCCAGACCTCAGTATTCCATCTCCACTGTGTCCTTCACAGAACTTTAACACACCGTAGCATTTCTGTTCATCCACTGACTGGCCATTTTGCCCACTCTAAACACTAAAACCCAAGGCACGTATTTCACCACCTCCCAGCATCTTAGAGTACCTGGTACACAGTACCATTTACACAGTGAATATTCACTGAAAAGACAGGAAAGTGATAGGATGCTGGCTCCAGCCATATCACCTAGAGGTGACAGGTCTCCATCTGAGTTCTAACACTTTTATTGTTGCTGTTCCGACCAGGTCTCACTATGGAACCCAGGCTGGTCTTGAACTTATGATCCTCCTGCCTCAGCCTCCAGAGGACTGGATTTCAAGCATATACCACCATACTTGGCCACATCCTCCGCCCCCCCCCCCCCAGCTCTGATCACTGTCCTTTTAGACACTTTCATTGCTTTCCTATTCTCTTCTCCCTCCAGAGGACCCATTCTTAAAGACACATGGTTCCTCTGGTCTGTGAACCTGGGTTCCTCTGGTCTGTGGAATCTTGGATGCTGATAGGGATTTCTGTCACAAGCACAAAAACTCAGGCAGCAACTGGTCAACAACGCAGCTCTAAACACTCTCCCATTGGCTGTAGAGTACCAGTAGCTAAGGCTGCCTACCCAGTACCTTACCCCAAACCAGTCTGACTTCATGGCAGGCTGCTCGTCAGCCCAAGCACACAGCTATCTGCCTGTGACTCTGGACGGCAAGATTTAGTGGGAGGAGGAACTGAATCCACCGTGTGTCATAAAGAGCTGCCCTGGGCCTTGCTCCACTGGAGCAAGTCGGTCATCAGAGGCCTCCATGTATCTCAATGTCTGTGCAGGCATGGAAGATCAGGGACCTAGTCCAGCCTCACAGGTGGGTAAATCCTGTTCAAACTTGCTCCTAAGTAGGCCCTGTGCTCGAGACCCTGGGGACTAAACAAAGAGCTGCAGACCTGCTTTGCTGGGTACTCGGGGAAGCAGAGGCTGGTGAGAAGAGGGTTGGGGTATTCCAGGAGCAGGGGAGCTGACAAGAGTGGGATGCTTGGCAAGTCAGGGGACCAAGGAGTAAAATCCAACACCCCTGGGGGAGGAGCCATCTCCCCATCCCTTGAGACTCACCCAGCTTTCCCAGCAGCATCTGTGCCACATCCTTGACGTCATTGTACTCGTGGAGGAGGGCGATATGGTTCTCCAGTTCACCCACACGGTAGCCTCTGGGGAAGAGCAACGGGGAGCAGGTACCATCAGGTAAGCTGATGAAGACAGTGAGACAGACATTTGTTTAGCATCTGTTCAACAAATATTCACAAATGTAGTCATACTAGGTGCTAGGTCTTGGGGACAGTGAAGACAGGATGGACCCTGTTTTCCTGAAGCTTATAATGGGCAGGGGGCCTACCCCCACCCCCCGCCACCCCCTCATTCCTGGCAAACTTGTCCCTTAAAGGAGGGTTTCCAGACACATGGTTAATATGTGACTCTAGCCATAGATAAGCACATAATTTGAGGCACCAGGCAGATTCTCTCATGTGAAATATACATCCCAGTGCATCTCAGCCTCTGTCCTAAGGCTGGAGTGAGGAGCATGAGGAAGCCCAGGAGCTGTGGAGAAGCCAGCTTCTCCTAGGTGCTAAAACGCCACACTGATGAAAGGATCCATGATAGTCAGCAGTGCCCAGAACTCAGCACCAGAGGAAGAGACCAGAATAGTCACTGCTTCCACTTCCATCAGCTTTCTAGACCCTGGTTCTAGGCTTGTCCTAACTTGAATTCCCAGAGCAGCTGCAAAGATACCCCGAGTCCCACGGCAGAATCTTTCCTATGCCAAGCTAGTAGAGCTGGGTTTGTTAGTAGGCACTAATTACAAGTTAAGAATGTTTGTGCGTGACTTGGGATACACCCCAAGGCTTCTGTACAACAGGTGAACACTCTGCCATAGAGCTTCATCCCTTGCCCTTTGTTTTCTTGCAGTAGGGATGGGGCCCAGGGCTTTACCCATGTGAGGCGAGCACTCCACATTGGTCAGTTATCCTAACCACACTGGAGAGGAATAAGACCGGCTCAGAAAACTGGATGTTGTTGCCTATACCTATCACTTCAACGTTATCAGCTATACAGGAAGTTTAAGGTCAGCCTGGGGTACAAAAGGGTCTCAGAAAACAAAATCACAAAGACTTACTCTTTTACTAACTGGGCAATCTCCTTGTCCAGCATGTCCCGTCTCTCCTTCAGTTTCTGAATGTCAGAGTTCAAAGACTCCACACTGCTATTTTCATCAGTCTGTTCAGGCTTGGGAGATGGACGCTAAGTGGCAGAGAAAAATACCAGCTAGATTGATTAGTTACCCACACGTCAGAGCCTACACGATACCTCTCGATATTTACTCTCTATTTCTGCTTGGTAATAGGCCCCTGCTCCCAAAATACCACTTATTTCTCAGCTTTCCTTGGAATTAGGTGTGGCCCAAGACTATTATGCAAGTGGAAATGTCATCAGGAGTGATATGTGCAATGCCTGAGGAATGTCTTTCCAGGGAGAGAACATGCCTAAGCTGGCCTTTCTCTGCCTGAAATGTTGATGTAATACTGGAGTAGATCAGCAATCTTGGATGAAGAAGCAGCAGCCTCATGGAGGCTGAAGCAAGATGGAGGATGGAGTCCATGATGGCGGTTATTTGGAGTTTTCTTATCAATTAAATCCAATCCTAAACAGCTGGCCACCTTGGCCTGCAGTCTGAGCCCAGGTCTGCAATGTCATTGGATTTATAATCTTATTGGACAAGACTTTTCCCTAAGGCTACATTTCATCTTTGCCCTTTCTCAACCTGTGGGTCATGACCCCCACACAGGCCACATTACATATCCTGCATATCAGATATTTACATTATGATTCATAACAGTAGCAAAATTAATTATAAGGTAGCAAGAAAAAAATTAATGTTATGGTTGGAGGTCAGCACAACATGAGGAAGTGTAAGGGTCCTAGCGTTAGGAAGGCTGAACCGCTGCTGTAAAGGCTGGCATCTACTGCTTATCTTATCTTCAGGAAGTACATGTTGGATGAACTGCCTAGCAAGAACACAGAGGAAGCTGTGGTTCCTGTTCTTAGCTCTCTGGCTTGTGATCAGTCACTGCAATTATGAGAGCGCACTGTCTGCCAGCATTGGCAGGAGCCCCAGGAAAAGACATCCCCTGTATTCAGAGGATACATAAGCCAACCAAAGGGAAGGGCCGGAAAGGTGGCTCAGCTGGTTACATTACCTGCCTTGCAATCCCGACAACCTTGAGTTTGATTCCCAGAACCCCGGTAGAGAACCAACCAACTCCTCAAAATTGTCCTCTGACCTACACATTAAAAATGTTTCAAAGGGGCCACTGAGTGTTTACACAGTGGGAGGAAAAAAATGACTCCTTCAAGGTGTCCTGACTTCCACTTGTATACCATAGTGCAGGTGACCCTTTAATACAGTTCCTCATGGTGTGGTGACCCCAACCATAAAATTATTCCGTTGCACCTGGAGGTGGTGGCGCACACCTTTAATTCCAGCACTCAGAGGCAGAGCCAGGAGGATCTCTGTGAGTTCGAGGCCAGCCTGACTTACAGAGCGAAATCCTAGACATGCTCCAAAGCTACACAGAAACAGTCTTGAAAAACCAAAAAATAAAAATTCTGTTGCTACTTCAAAATTGTAATTTTGCTACTGTTATGAATCATAATGTATGTATCTGAAATGTGACCCTATGAAAAGGTCATTCAAACCCTCAAGGGGTCACAACCCACAGGCTGAGAACTGCTGTCATATAGTGCCTCCTGCCCCAAATAAAAGTGCATGCATGCAGACAGAACACTGTATTATGATAAATAAATCTTAAAAAAAAAAAAAAAAAAAAAAAAAAAAAAAAAAAAAAAAAGGGGGGGGGGAGGGGGCAAGGTCTCACTATGTAGCTCTGCTCCAGCTGGTCTGTAACTCACTACGTAGACCAGGCTGGACTCCAACTCAAAGATACATCTGCCTCTTGCCTGCGGAGTGATGGGATTGAAGGCATATGCCACCATGCCTAGCAGAAATAAATGTAATTTTATAATTTTTTTTATAAGGCTGTAATGAGGGTTAAGAGTACATGCTGCTCTTGAGGAGGATCTGGGTTTGGTTCCTAGCATCCACACAGGGTTCACAACCACCTGTAACTTCAGTGCCAGGGGTCAGACCTTCTGACCTCTAGGCACCAGGCATGCACTATGGTACACATACGCACATAAGCAAAACACTCAGGAACATAAATTTTTTTTTTTTTTGGTTTTTCGAGACAGGGTTTCTCTGTGTAGCTTTGCGCCTTTCCTGGAACTCACTTGGTAGCCCAGGCTGGCCTCGAACTCACAGAGATCCGCCTGCCTCTGCCTCCCGAGTGCTGGGATTAAAGGCGTGCGCCACCACCGCCCGGCATAAAATTTAAAAACATATTAAATACATTTTTTTTTTAATTTTGTTTTTTTGAGACAGGGTTTCTCTTGTGTAGCCCTAGCTGTCCTGGAACTTGTTCTGTAGACCAGGCTGGACTCAAACTCAGACATCCACCTGCCTCTGCCTTCCCAGTGCTGGGATTAAAGGTGATTAGCCACCACTGCCCGGCTATCTTATTTTTAAATATGTGTCTGTGCACATGAACGCAGGTGCCTGTGGAAGCCAGAGGCATTATATCCCTCTGCAGTTGGAGTTCTAGGAGGTTGTGAACCACCTGATACGGGTGCTGGAAACTGAACTCAGGTCCTCTGCAAGAGCAAAGCACACTCTTGACCAACGAGCCATGTCCAGGCTCTTCTCCACTTGCTCTCCAGCTCACTTTGAGACAGTTTCTCTGAACCTAGAGTTCACTGATTTGGCTTGGCAGCTGACCAACAAGTCCTAGGGTGGTTGTGGTCTTTACCTCAATGCTGGGATGACATCATGCTTGTGCTTCTGTGTCCAGTGTTCACATGGGTGCTAGAGTTTATGTGGGTCCTTTCACGGTAATCACTTTACCCACAGAGCTATCTTTCCGATCTACATTGGTGTTTCACTTCATTTCTCATCACCTGACATGCTGTACATTTCATTTTTATTTTCACACCACTGTTATCTTGGTAAATTCGAAGGAAACAAGGACTTTGTGTGTTTGTCTGATGCTGACACCATAATGCCTACAACAGTAGTTGGGTACACAGTAGACAATATTCATCAAATGAAAGATCCAACAACTAATCAACTAATTATAAGTCTAAAAAAAGCTTGGAAGAACAATGTGCTAAGGAAGCGTCTAGAATTGACAGAGTCAGAAGTAGGGAGTAAGGCTTCTGGAAGCAGCTGAACTTCAAAGGGTAAGTGGGTGTCAGCTTGACCAACAGCTCTAATATTAGCCTGGGGACTTTTCCCCAGGCACTACCTCTCAAGTAAAGCTGAATCCTTGGCTTTGTCAAAGAAAAGCACATATGAGGGAAAAGCTAGGCTTTATTAAAAAACACATTCTTAACACATTTAAGAATAGGAGCCAGGGTTGGAGATTTAGTTCAGTGGTAGAACGCTTGCCTAGCAAGTGCAAGGCCCTGGGTTCCATTCTCAGCTCCAAAAAAAAAAAAAAAAAAAAAAAAAGAATAGGAGTCAAAGGCATCCTGAGAAAGAATGAAACAAACTCAAGTGAGGTGTGGGCTTCCAAAGGATACTTGAATTTGTAGTTTTTTCTTATTTTTTAGGCAGAGTCTTACTATGTTGCCCCAGTTGTCTTGAAACGCATTATGTAGACCAGACTGGTTTTAAACACCCTGAAATTCACCAGCCTCAGCCCCCCAAGAGTATCTGGCATTAAAAGCAAGTGTTTCCACTCCTTTTGTACAGTCTCATATCCCAAGCAGGTCCCAAAGAGTGTCCACATATAGGTGACTTCTGAAATTACTCAAAGGTTTGCTAAGGAATTTTAAAGTGATTACAAGTGGTCCCACGGTTCCTGACACCTGCTTGACAGGTTTACAATGGATAATTAGACCCTTAGATCACAAGGATGCAGAAAATTAGGATAGCATCATCTTTACTGTAAACAAAAGTCTTATGAGATTCCTGGAAAACTTCTGGATGAGGAGTGCGGCACTATCCAAGGCCTTACCATTCCTATTCAAAAATATTTCTCCTCAAAAGAAATATTAGAGACCAGTGAAATGGTTTAGGTGGGAAAAGTGCTTGGTGACCTGCTGGAAAGATGGCTCGGTGGTTTAGAGCATGGGCTGTTCTGCCAGGGGACCTGAGTTCAATTTCCAGCACTTACATAAGCAATGTGCAACTACCTCTAACTCCAGCTCCAAGAGGCTCTGACACTGTTGGCCTACACAAGCACCCGTACACACTACATACTTACACACACATACATAAATTTAAAAATTAAAAAAAAAAAATCTTTAAAAAAAGTGCTTGGTGATGAGTCTGGTGACCTGAGCTGGATCCCTGGACTCATCGTGTGGAGGAAAGAACCAACTCTCCGAAGTTGTTCTTTGACCTCCGTATGTATTCTGCAACATTCAAGTGCCCACAAACAAATACTAAACACATTTTAAAATGTAATCTTAAATTATAAAAAAAAAAAACAAAAAACAAAAAAAAAACAGCCAGGTGTGGGGGCATAGGCCTTTAATCTCAGTACTGGGAGGCTGAGGCAGGTATTTATCTGTAAGTTCAAGCCCAGCCTGGTCTGCCGCAAAGGGTACATAAAGACCCTGTCTCAAAAAGAAGAAAAAAACTCAAAACAAAAAACCCAACAACAAAAACACCAAACCAAAACCAAATAATAAGTTTAAAAAGGAAATATTGTCTTTATGTTGGCAACATTCACAGCAAATGTAAATTGTGCTGGAATCCTGATTCTAAAATCAGGGTTCTCGCTCTCTCTTTTTGTTTTGCTATTTGAGACAGGGTTTCTCTGTGTGTCCTGGCTGTCCTAGAACTCACTCTGTAGACCAGGCTGGCCTTGAACTCACACAGGCCCTGCCTCTGCCTCCCCAGTGCTAGGATTAAAGGCATATGACACCACCATCCTGCTTAAAGCGCTCTTTTCCCCTCCTTATGTCCCCATAATTTTCCCTGGCATTTTATCTGACTCTCCAGCATTTGGGAGTTGTTAAGGCAGGAAGATGAGTATTCGGCCAGTCTGGCTACATAGTAAAACCATGCATATAACCTTTTTAATTACAAATTGTTCTCAACTGCTTGTTTCAGGAATGGCAACCATGTCTTTGTTTCAAAAAGTTGTTGTAACCATCTTGCAATCCTACCTTTGTTTCATTTTTCTTTCTTTTGTTTTTGTTTTTTTTTTTTTTCAAGACAGGGTTTCTCTGTGTAGTTTTGGTACCTGTCCTGGAACTCACTCTGTAGCCCAGGCTGGCCTCGAACTCACAGAGATCGGCCTGGCTCTGCCTCCCGAGTGCTGGGATTAAAGGCGTGCGCCACCACCGTCCGGCTTTACCTTTGTTTCAAAAGGTTATATGACCACCTGCGATTACCTTGTTATAACTACCTTGTCATGGCCACCTTGCAACCATGTCTGTTTCGGGAGGTCGGAGGTCGTTAGAATTAACATGTATGCTCATGCTCTGCTCCTGTAACCCTGCCAACTTTGCACCCAAGCCCCCATTTGTTAACCCCCACCCACCAGCTGTAAAAACCTCATCTTCTTCAATCCAAGGCTGACCTCTCCAACCCCGCCTTAGGGGGAGGCGGCCTGTGTACACGAATTAAAAAAGCTTGCTTAATTGTTTGCTTTAATTAATTTGGCCAGGATGATTTGGGTCGGTGGCCTTTCTCCTTCCATCTTTGGGGTTAACAACTGTCTCAAAAAAAAAAAAAAAGCATAAAGAACAAAAGGAACTACTAAAAAGAAATGAGTGGCGATTTCCTCGAAAAGAGTGCTTGAAAAATCCATCTTCGGGGTGAGAAATGAAGGAGGCTGAGCTTTGGGGGAGCCGGGAAAAAGGAGATAGTGCTACTCGGAGTTCAGGGAGAGGCCAGCACGGGGGGGATTCCTTGCCTGGGAAACCGTACGCGGGACTGAAGGCAGGGGTGGGGAGGCGGCGGGGGAAGCGAAGGACAGGCAGGAGTGCAAGGGCAGGACCCCGATTCTGAGGAAGGGGAGGGGAGGGGTGGGGCTAGGCAAGGACCGACGCCTCCGAACAGCGTGGCGGCGGGAGAAGGGTGGGCAGGTGCTGGGATGCGGAGGGCGCGGTGGGGCTGACATACTCACCGGTGACCGGAAGGGCCCATGGCAACTCGGGAAGAGATCTGGGTCGGTCCTGGGGAGGAACCCGAGGAGAGGGCTGGTGAGGGGGGCGGCGAGGGGGCGCGGAGCCGCGGTGGGGAAGGACCGCGCCCCGGCTGCCAGGGCCCCCGCCTGGGCTATCGGGATGGGGCAGGGGGCTTTGGGGTCGGGGTTCGCATTGTGGGAAGGGAGCGCTGGGGGGGACGGGTCGCGAGGGGCCTGGGGAGGGCAGGTCTGGGCTGAGGCCTGAGGAGTCGGGGGAGGGCTGTGAAATGCAGCGTTGCGCGCTCCTCGCCCACCTCCGGAACCCTGAGCTCCGAGGCACCCGGAGCGGGGTCGTCTGGTGCGTAGGAGAGTCCAGGGTTGGGGTTAAACGGCAGCCTCGGCGCCTCACGTAACCAGAAAACGACGATGGAGACCACCGACTGACCCGCGTCAAGCTGCGCGCGCACCAAGCCGGAGCGGCTCCGCCCCCCGCTCCGATTGGCGGCCGAGAGGGGTCATGGCTGCGCACGCAGCTTTCGGCGTTGACTCCACCCGTCGCTCCCGCCTCGCGGCGGCGTGACCACGCCTCCCTGTCATTCACCGTTCCCCTCAACCAATGGGCTTGGAGAGGGGAGGCCACGCTGGGTTTCCGAGAGGCCTAGAGGCGCCTTGCACCGCCTTCTCTGCCACTTACCGAGGCGCCGTAGCTGCCGGAAGCAGTTCCGCGGTGGCTGCCGGGATTGTGGTGATGTGGCCCCCCCGCTTCCCCCCTCCCCACCCCGGGATGTCGGAAGAAACCAGGCAGAGCAAATTGGCTGCGGCCAAGAAAAAGGTAAAGCGCTCCGGGTCGCGGCCCCTTGACCCCGCCCGAGCTCCTCCGACGGCCGGACCATGACCCGAGTCCGAGCCTGTCCCGAGGCACACGGGAAGAGCCCCTCCGCGCCCTGGGCTCCCCTAGTAAAGTCTTCTCACCAGCCCCGCCCCCTCACCAGCCCAGCCCCCCCCGCCCTCCGGGTCGCCCCTGGGTGACTTTGGCCAGGGACTTAGGGACTCTCGGCCCTCAACTCCGAACGCCCCATACCAGACCTCCCCGGGCTCCTGTCTCCAAGGACCTCGCTCCTGGCCCTGTACTCTCATACCCCGCCGCCGAGCGGCGACTCGGGCGTTGGTAGTGTGGAGTGGAATGTAATTACGTCACGGTCCCCCCCGAAACTGTCATTACTATTCGGAGTCCCGTCTTGGACCGTCCCACCTGCTCACCTAATGTTGTCACCCCGTTTTCTGTTTCTCTGGTGGAGCACCTATATCCACCTGGAAGGGAGCTCTAGTACGGAGACGATTCAGGCACCTCACTCACTCTCTTAACTTAGCTATTAATGTGAGCACAAAACACTGTCAGTGCTCCTTGCTGACATGGATGATCGGGTTTGGGTTGATTGGGTTGGGGTTTTTCAGTTTTCTACTCGCTAGAGAGACAAATATCTCTGGAGTGTATAGTGTGGATCATTTTCTTGGGAAACTGGACAGCTTAAAATTCAGCCAAATAATCTTCTCAAACTGGGGTGATGAGAACCACAGGATAAACATGAGGCGTCTCTCTGAAGCATCACTTTTGCATGATTCTTTTGAGACATGAACATAAAAGTCAGGCATGGCGTTTTCATAGATTTGTAAGAATGTAAAAACTTCTCTGCGTTGATATTGTGTTCCCCAAAATATTGTGCACCCTAATAAACTTATCTGGGGTCAGAGAACAGAACAGCCATAATATTAAGCATAGAGGTAGCACATGCCTTTAATCCTAGCATTCCAGAGGCAGAGATCCATCTGGATCTCTGTGAGTTCAAAGCCACAACTGGAAACAGCCAGGCATGGTGACTCACGCCTTTAATCCCAGGAAGTGATGGAAAGCGGAAAGGTATATAAGGCGTAAAAACCAGGAACTAGAGCTGGTTAAGCTTTTTAGGCTTTTGAGCAGCAGTTCAGCTGAGATTCATTCTGGATGAGGACATGGAGGCTTCCAGTCTGAGGAAACAGGATCAGCTGAGGAGTTGGCAAGGTGAGGTGGCTGTGGCTTGTTCTATCTCTCTGATCTTCCAGGGTTCACCCCAATACCTGGCCCCGGGTTTGTTTTTATTAATAAGACCTTCTAAGATTTGTGCTATATTTGTGGCTTGGCCCCGGCCACAGCTTCTCCTTAGCAAGCCTCCTAGGCCGGCCTCAACAGATCCTCCTGCCTCTGCCTTCCTTCAGTGAATCCAACCAGTGTGCCACCACAACCAGCCGAGTGTAGCTCATGTTTGGGCTGGGGCCCGCAACGCCACAGGCAAGTAGCTTTTTGGTGAATTCATACCACGAATGTTGGGTGCCAGATGTAGCATGAATCTTAAAAAGGTCTTATTAATAATAACAAACCCAGGGCTGGAGAGATGGCTCAGAGGTTAAGAGCACTGACTGCTCTTCCAGAGGTCCTGAGTTCAATTCCCAGCAACCACATGGTGGCTCACAACCATCTGTAATGAGATCTGGTGCCCTCTTCTGGCCTGCAGTCATACATGCTGTATACATAATAAATAAATAAATATTTAAAATAATAATAATAATAATAATAATAACAACAACAACAAACCCAGAGCCAGGTATTGGGGTGAATGCTGAAAAGACACAGCTTCCTTACCTCGCCAATTCCTCAGCTGATCCTGTTTCCTCAGACTGGAAGCTTCTGAGTCCTCATCCAAATAGATCTCGGCTGAACTGCTGCTCAAAAGCCTAAAAGCTTAACCAGCTCTAGTTCCTGGTCTTCATGCCTTATATACCTTTCTGCTTTCCTCCATCACTTCCTGGGATTAAAGGCGTGAGTCACCATGCCTGGCTGTTTCCAGTTGTGGCTTTGAACTCACAGAGATCCAGATGGAATGCTAGGATTAAAGGCATGTGCTACCTCTATGCTTAATATTATGGCTGTTCTGTTCTCTGACCCCAGATAAGTTTATTAGGGTGCACAATATTTTGGGGAACACAATATCACCACACTTCTCTTTGAAATGATGCTTACTTATTCCTGTTCTCAAGTTCACTAGGGTTGCCTTCATGACTTCTTTCCTTATGTTATGATGTGAAAGTTTAGGAAATACTGCTGTGTACCTTTAATATGTGTTGGTAAAGGGCCCCAGTGGGGTTGGGCATGTAGTTGTTAGGATGTTTGTTTAGTGTATATAAGGACCCGTTCAATACTCAGCTTAGTTGGCAAGAGTGCTTGCCTAACATGTATGAGGCTTTGGGTTGGATCCCAACATGGCATTAACTGGGCAGAGCAATGCATGCTGGATCCCAAGACTGGGGGAGAGGCAGAAGGATCAGGACTTCAAGGTTATTTTTGCCTTTATATGTAGTTTTGAGGCCAGCATGGTATATGTACTACTCTATCTTTACAAAAAAAAAAAAAAAAAAAAAGGGGGGGGGATTGGTGCTGGCAGGGTGGCCTAGCAGCTAAAGCACTTGTTGCTCTTGCAGAGAACCTGGGTTTAGCTCCTACCATCCACATGGCAGCTAACAACCATCTGTAGTTCCAGAGGTGTCTGTATGACACCCTCTTCTGGCCATCTAGGTTATTATATGTATATGATATACAGACATACATGTAGGGGAAAAAAGTCAAAATAAAAATATTTTTAAACTAAATTAATTTTTTTTTTGTTTTGTTTTGAGAAGGGTTTATGTAGTCCTGGCTATACTGGAACTCACTATGTAGACCAGGCTGACCTCAAATTCACAGAGGTCCCCCGTCTCTGCCTACCGAGTGCTGGGATGAAAGGTGTGGGCTACCATGCCCAACACTTTTTTTTTTTTTTTTTTAATGGAAGCTGTATATGGCTCAGTAGTAGAACACTGGCCTCGTGTGCTTCAGGTTCAATCCCCAGCACTACCACACACACACACACACACACACACACACACACACACACACACAAAACCATTGACTTGAGGTTGTATTGGCGGTACTTTGAGACGGCTCATTGGGTAAAGTGCTTGCCACACAGACAGAAGGGCCTACGTTGAATTCCCTAGAACCCGTGTCAAACCAGACACGGCAGCATGAATCTCTAAGCCCGGGTGCTCTCTGGCTGGGTGGAAGGTAGAGACAGAATTCCTAGAAACTGAAAGGCCATCTAGTCTGCTGTGTGTGGTGACAAGGGACCTGTCTCAAGTGGAAGAGGCTTCCTCTGACATTCTTGTATGTACCATGACACACCTGTGCACCCTCTTACAGTATACAGACATACACGTGCAAGACGCACGCACGCATGCACGCATAAATATTTTAAAGATTTTAAAGACAGAATTTTTGGATTTTATTCCCAGCACCCATGATGACTAATATCATCTGTGACTCCAGTTCCAAGGGTTCTGACACCCTCTTCTGACCTCTGTGTGCACCAGGTACACATGTAGTGCACATATGTACATGTGGGCAAAACATTCATGCACATAAAATAAATTTAAAAAATAAATAAGAATAAAGACAGAGTCTTGCTTTGTATCCCTAGCTGGCCAGGAACATGCTATGTAGACCAGGCTAGCTCAGCTCATCACAGAGATCCATCTGCTTCTGTTTTGAGTGCTAGAATTAAGGGTATGTACACCTCCCCCCCCAAAAAAAAAAATGGTTGAGGATTTAGCTCAGTGGTAGAGCACTTGCCTAGCAAGCACAAGGCCCTGGGTTCGATCCTCAGCTTAAAAAAAAAAAAAAAAAAAAAAAAGGTGTGGGTGTGTGTGTACCACCATGCCCAGCAAGATATTTTTTTTTTAAAGAGGGTTTTTAAGGTCCAGTATATAATTGTCTGCTGGTTCATTTGTTTGCTTGTTTTCTTACTCTGAGACTGGGTATTGCTGTATAGCCGAGGTTGGCTTCAAACTCATTCCTCTTGCCTCTCCCAAGAGTTGGGATTACAGGTAGGGGACACCACACCCAGCTGGTTCCTGTTACCAGATGTTTACTCTCAGGTCTCTACCTCTAGATTTTCCCCTTGGGAACTGCAAACCCCAGAGCTGGGAATCAGAAGATGGAGTTTAAACTTGATGTTTGCCTCTGTGTGTATGTGTGTATGCGCATGTGTATGTGTTGCTGGGATGGAACTCAGGGCCTCTTGAATGCTAGGCAAGTATTTTCCACTGAGCTACATTCCCAGCCCAGTTACTGCCTTTTTAGCCATGCTGTTTCTTCGGCCATTCAAAGGTCATTACGATATCTTGTAGAATTGTGGTACCATTCCGTGAGACTTATGTACATAAGGGTATTTTTATAAAATTTGCATGGCAGGGACCTGGGCATGAAGCACAGCTGGTAGAATACTTGCCTTGCTTGCACAAAGCCCTCGGTTTGATCTCCAGCTTGTATAAATGAGGTATGGTGGCACATACTTGTAATCCTAGAGCTTTTAGAGGTTCAGGCAGGAAGATCAGAAGTTCATAGTCATCTAAATCTACATAGTGAGTTGGAGCTCAGCCTGGGATATGTGAGACCCTGTCTCAAACAAGTAATGTGTACAGAACTACCAAGCAAAAACCCCTCGATAAACTGGAATGCTGGAGTGGAGGCCGTGAGTACGGAACAGATGGCTTTCATGAGTGTCCCTGTTCTTTCCACAGTTGAGAGAGTATCAGCAGAAGAACAGCGCTGGTGTTCCTGCAGGAGCAAAGAAGAAGAAAAAGATTAAAAATGGCAGTAGCCCTGAGAAAGCCACCACCAATGATTGTCAGTCACCAGAGGATGTGAGTTTGGGCAGCAGAGTCCTGGGGATGGTGGGGTGGAGAGGGCTGTGGTTCAGGTGGAAATGTCAGTGCTGGTTACAAACTCTGCCTTTGAGGGTTGGGAGCCTGGTTCAGTGGTTAATGAGTTAGGTCTTGCCTGGCAAGAGACCCTGGGTTTGATCTCTGCACAGAAAAAGAAAAGAAAATCCGGGTCTGAAGCCTATCTCTTCATCTGCTGGAAATATGATAAGACTTAGAGCAAGTTGTTTAAACTTTTTGAGCCTCTTTTTACATATCTATAAAATAGTGGTAATTTGTTTAACATGTATTTATAAAGTGTAAATGAAGTTTATTGCAGTTGTTTTTATGTTAGTCCCCTCATAGAGGGCTTGCTGTGAGTTAACA